GGGGGGGGGGGGGTAGAGGTAGCAGCACGAAGCGTGCGAGGGACCGAGCCCCTGTTGTAATTAACAACTATGAAGAACTCCGCGTAGTTAACAACTTGTTTCCCTCTGCTGATGGCTGGTTGCGTCCTCTCTCTTTTACTATCTCTCTCTCTCTCTCTCCCTAAAGCTCTGGCACACGAAGACGGAAATCGATGGAAAATAAAACGGATGGTGTCCTCCCCTTTTCCCCCTTATCCTCCCCACCCCTTTTTTCCCTCTGCTTCCTCTGTCGCCCCAGCAGATCCATCCCGTGGGCGCGCTCGACCCGCTCCGGGCGATGAGCATCTCGAATCTGTTGCTTCTCGATCCCCGCCTGATTCCCTCTGTCTTCGCTCGGCTTATTTTCCGCTCGAAATCTGAAGAAGTGTTAGACAAAGCGGGTGAGAGCGCGCCGCGGCATGTGGAGGCATCATCGCGTGGCTCAGCAGGGAACGCACGATGTTATGCCGCGGCTTTAACGAACCACAAGGGTAATCATGTTTTGTTTTTTTTGTTTTGTTTTGTGTGTCTACTGCTTTGTTCCTGACGGTGTGTTTCACGTAAATAATTAGCTTTGCCTCGGCATCACTTGTTGCCGGCAGGGGTGGCGTCAGGGGATGACGAGGCGTCGAGCGAGGCTTAGCCCTCCCACGCGCCGGATTGAATTTGACGCATGCCCGCCCCGACCCGCCCCGCCCGGTGGTTGAGGTGCGGGGGCTCCCCTTATGACACCGAGTTGTTGTGCATGCGCGAAGGCTCGCCGCCGAGCACAGGCGACGACGGCGGAGGTAATTTGTATGCCGCGGTAGACTCCGGGAGCCCCAATGACTTTCCGCTACGCCGGTTTAGCAAAGTCGGGCGGGAGGAGAAGAGGGCGGTGGGTGGTGAGGGAAGGAGGGTGGACGCAAGGCTGTTCCGTCGCCACGTGTGCGCGAGGTGGTGGGGGGCGAGCACGTCCCTCTGCGGCACAGCCCAGCACAGCCGCCCCAAACAAACTCCAGCCGTATTTCGTCATTGATGGCCTTGTGAAGCAGTCGCCCCGGCGCGTCCCCGTAAATCCTTTTCCACAAACCTCCCTTTTTGCCAGACGCCTTTCCCCGCCACATATGTGTGTGTATAGGTGTGTGTGTGTGTGTGTGTGAGAGAGAGAGAGAGAGAGAGAGAGAGAGAGAGAGTGAGAGAGAGACAGAGACAGAGAGAGAGAGGGGGGGGGGGGGTAGACCTCGACGATGTGGACGACGAGGACGCGACATCGCCCGTCTCGTCCCGGGGCGGGAGGGTACATATACGCCTCGTGTGGTCCGCAAACACAAATAAATCCGCCACGAACCGCAGACCAACTTTGTCTATTTGAGCGCCATAGCCTTGTTAGCGACCGCCCGTCCCCCCTCTCCGCTCCTCTGCGGCAGACACTCTTGGCGCCTTATTGCTTTTCCACCTTTCTCTTTCTTTCTTTCTCTCTGTCTCACTCTCAAGCAGTTACACAACAGAACAACAACAACAAAAAATAAAGCCATGGGGTGGGGGGCAGTAGAAGACGGCTTTGTTTTTTATTTGTCTTGTATTCCTTCCCATTGCCTGTCTAAGACCCCCCCCCCCTCCTCCCCATCCGTCACCAGTCATTACACCGGGCGCCGTCTGACCAAACTTTTCACGCTCATTGTGAGGCGCGGGTTGTGGGTGCGAAAGTCGTCGGCCCCGCCGAGAGAATGGCGAGTTTCTGTCGTGGCGGAACACCATCATCGGCGGGAGGGGTCGGGGGCGAAGGGGATGAGGTGGGTGAAGAAGGGTGAAGGGCGCTTTATGGTGAAGGGCGGGGTGATGTGGATATGAAGGGGGGTTG